TACTTGTTCTATTTTTATTTTTATTATCTGTGTTTTTTGTTCTGTCACTGTCATTCTGTTACACTGTGGAAGCTTCTGTCACGAAAACAAATTCCTCGTATGTGTAAACATACCTGGCAATAAAGCTCATTCTGATTCTGATTCTGATTCTAAATATGAACTCACGATTAAATGTAACATAAAACACGCTGTTCTACCCCTTCATGTGAACGCACGAAACTGAGGGGTAGGGGAAAGGGGAAGGGGTAGAATTGGGATTGGGCCTAAGTGTTTTAACTAGGGATGTGTGGGTCTAGTCGACTAAACGGTACAGCTCCTACTAGTCGACACTGAAAACAATAGTCGATTACACGACAGAAAAAGAAAAAAAAACATAATTATCATTCAAATTACAATCATTTTATGTTACCATCAAATTACCATTGTTACATTTAAAACATTTTAAATAACAAGTTAAAATAAAATATTTGAAAAATAATACATTATTTTTAAAAGTGTATCTGGGCGTAAACTACATTTTTACCTCGGACCTCGCATGAGTTTTCTTCGTGTCAGTTGTGGCACGGAGGCGTTAGCTTAGAGACTAGCCAAAGCCAGCTAATGTCAATCACGTCATTCACTAAAGCCCGTCGCCGCTGCGATCCCATCCGTGCTGTCTATTCCTCTAATGAAGACCCACTTCGGTGGTGGTGCGGGATGTCCAGGCACTTTCTGAAATTCTGTTGGCTTGCTTTTCGTTATCTCTGCGTTTCCTGCGACTTCAGTTCCTGCAGAGCGCATTTTTTCAAGTGCAAGAATTGTTAATCGCCTCAGGTCCTGTCTTTCTTTTTGTTTGTTTTGTTTTTAGATGATATAGCCTACATGATGAATTTTTTTAAAGGTCATTTTAATGCTATTCCTTTATAAAAATGTCCTATTGTTTTTGACTTGTATATGAAGATGAAGAATTCTGTCAGGCTATTGATTGATTTTCCATTGTTCTGCATTTCCCCAGCTGATTTTAATAAATAAGCATTGGCTGATGTTGAGTGTGTGCTCTTCTTTTTTCTTTTAATACGAGGCAAGCGTACGGCATAATTGTGACCTATTTTTAGCGGAATTCATTGAGGGATTTGACAGTGTAATTCATAGATAAAGTATTTCAAATGTAGGCTATTATATACACGCATGCACAAAGTTTTTTTTTTTCTTACCATCTTTTGGGGGTTTCTTGCTTTTAGACTAGTCGACTAGTCGGATAAAAAACTTCAGTTTAAACGACAGTCAAATTAGTCGTCGCGCACATACCTAGTTTCAACACACATTCAAGTAATGTATTTTTGATTTTCTTCCAGTATTGCTGTTTTCATAGTGCACAAGGACCCAAGGATGTTATTCTATTTTCCCATTTATTTTGAGTTGGATTAGAGTTACACGGTGTCCTAATCAGTGCCAAGTGCATTTTCTATCCATACTGTATGGGAAATGCTGCCATAAAGTCAAAATATCAACCAATTAGCATGCTTTTGTAAGATGTACTATAATGATATGTAGACTTTAGAGCAGGATTTTAGAGCAACTCTGGTTGGGGCTACCTAGCATGATGCAAAAAAAATAAAAATCCATACAAATATGATGGATGTGATTTCTGTCAAAGATTTTCAACGTGTGCTTTAGTTTTATTTCACTAACACAACGTTTTTTCTGTCTAGAATCCTGTTATCACAGATATCTTCCCAGAGTTTGGACCCAAGTCTGGCGGAACAGTACTCACTATCACAGGCTCATTCCTGGATAGTGGAAATATGCAACTGGTTACCATGGGCAATGCTACCTGTGCGCTGCAGAGGTTTGTATGTCTACAAATCTATTAAGAGTTTCTATTAAAGGGATAGTTCATCCAAAAAACATTAATTACTCACCCTCATGTCATTCCAAACCTATAAGACCTTTGTTCATCTTCAGAACACAAATTAAAATATTTTTGATGAAATCCAAGAGCTTTCTGACCCTGCATAGACTGCAACTCAACAACCACGTTCAAGGCTCAGAAAGGTAGTAAGGACATCATTAAATTAGTCCATGTGACATCAATGGTTCAACCTTAATTTTATGAAGCTACAAGAACTTTTTGTGTACTAAGAAAACAAAAATAATGACTTTATTCGACAATATCTTCTCTTCCATATCAGTCTTTGCTGCGCGTTCACGAGAGTACCAATAAAGTTGAACCACTGACATCACATTGGACTATTTTAAAGATGTCCTTACTACCTTTCTGGGTCTTGAACATGTCAGTTGCATTGCTCTCTATGCAGGGTCAGAAAGCTCTCAGATAAAAAAAAAAAAAAAAGTTTTCAAAATTTGTGTTCTAAAGATGAACGGTCTTACGGGTTTGGAACAACATGAGAGTGAGTAATAAATGACAGAATTTTAATTCTTCCAAATGTCTTAATTGATTTATAAATTTTTCAACATTTTTCTTTGTTTTTAAATGAAATTCATTTACACACACACACACACACACACACGCATATATATATACAGTGGTGTGAAAAAGTTTTTTTAATTGTTTGCATATTTGTCACAATTAAAAGATTCAGATCATCAAACTAATTTTAGTATTACACAAAGATAACCTGAGTAAATACAAACTGCAGTTTTGAAATTATGATTTCGTTTATTAAGGGAAAAAGCTGTCCAAACCTGCCTGGCACTACGTGAAAAAGTAATTGCCCCCTAAACCTAATAACTGGTTGTACCACCCTTTGCAGCAACAACTGCAATCAAGCGTTTGCGATAAATGGCAATGAGTCTTTCACAGGAATTTTGGCCCACTCTTCTTTGCAGAATTGTTTTCATTCAGCCACATTGGAGGGTTTTTGAGCATGAATGGACTGTTTAAGGTCATGCCACAGCATCTCAATCTGATTTAAGTCTGGACTTTGACTTGGCCACTCCATAACCTTAATTTTGTTTTTCTTGAGCCATTCAAAGGTCAAGTCAAGTCAAGTCAAGTTTATTTGTACAGCGCTTTTCACGATACAAATCATTGCAAAGCAACTTTACAGCAAATTAAGTTTCTACAATATTTAGTGGTAGCTTATCAGTGGTGACTGTCAATTAATGTACATATGGCAGAAATGTATGGAAAAATCAATTAAAGACGTAATAAAAAAGACGATGAACACTATTAACAGCAATTATTATATGATGCAATCAAACTTATAGCAAAATGTGGTAGTTCTGTATGTTGTTTCAGGGTTGGCATCATCTGAGGTCCTCTGAGGGGTTGGCATCATCTCTTCTCAGGTGTTCTGGATCCAGACTGAAGCTTGTGTAAATCCTAGTTACGTGGCAAAAACAGAGAAACAAATAGAGACATAATTAGCGTTTCTGTGCTATGGTGGGGCCTGAAACCTGACTGAAATTCTTCATAGAGATAATTTTTTTGCAGGAAGGAGCGCAATTAAGCAGACACAACTTTTTCAAAATTTTTAGACATAAAAGGAAGATTTGAGATCTGTCTGTAATTTGCCAGTTCACTAGGATCTAGTTGTGGTTTCTTAATAAGAGGCTTAATAACCGCCAGCTTGAATGGTTTTGGGACGTGACCTAAAGACAATGATGAGTTAATAATATTGAGAAGCGGTTCTTCTGCTACAGGTAACAACTCTTTCAATAATTTAGTGGGTACAGGATCTAACAGGCATGCTGTTGGTTTAGATGCAGTGATAAGTTTATTTAGCTCTTCCTGTCCTATAGTTGTAAAGCACTGCAATTTATCTTTTGGTGCAATGAATGAAGCTGAAGTATTATACGCTTGTTATTGTATTTCTGATGTTATCTATTTTATCAGTGAAGAAATTCATAAAATCATTACTATTAAACTGTGAGGGAATATTTAGATCGGGTGGCGTCTGGTTATTTGTTAATCTAGCCACTGTGCTAAATAAAAACCTAGGATTTTGGTTATTTTCTATGAGTTTGTGGATATGCTCGGCCCTGGCAACTTTTAGAGCCTGTCTATAGCTGGACATACTGTCACGATCAGATTTTTTCTAGATCTTGCATTAAATTTATATTTTGACCAAACTATTCGGGGAACAGACACAGTATTTATAGATTGTACAGCGCAAATACTTCTATCATTTAAGCGGGTAGAACACAAGTCATCAGGGCAGTTATTTGAGATTTGACTTATGAAAGATTCCAATTATTAACAAAGAGCAGTTTCTGTTCTTTACACCATGACAATAACCATTAAT